TACATTTCCAGCTTTTCCAGCTTTTCTAGGATGGTGCAGGGACCCTGAATTTTTCCAACCCAACCTTTGTTACAGAAACACAAGATTAACAGATGGAAGCAGTGAACGTACCTTCCATCCCAGAGCATGAAGCCCCACCACGGCTCCATAGTGGGAGCAAAGCGGTCTCACTGGGTCAGACAGAACCTTCTGGAGCGACAGCAGGATCTGATGGTAGAGACCACTCACCAGATCACCATGAGTCCTAGAGAAAAAAACAAAACAATAAAAGGAGAATAAATACTTTGGACTTTCACCACGTGGACTGAAACAGGACCCAAAAGGATGTTAATGTTGCTCTGTGTCTGCTGGATGTCTAAATATCCATTTGCTGTTACAACTTAAATGTCAAAAAAAGGCTGATGCCACGCTGGTTGGTCAATAGGAAACTCACTCAAACAAACTCTGAATCATTGTCGTCAGTTGGCCTGAAAAACAAATGTTTTTGGTAGATTCTTTGGAGTTTCATATAAAGCACAATGAACCCTGTGTGCGATTGTATAATATGACCCCATATCATCTGAACCGTATGAACAGTCTCTGTTTCAGTAGCTCACCAGAAGATGTGGCTGAGGAGCAGTGCTGCGTAGTCTCTGAGGGTCCAGTGGTCATTGAGCGGGTTGATGGAGGCGGCCAGCGGCTCCAGGATGCAGTACATGACGCTGGAGACCAGGCTGCGCACATACGAGCCCAGGTACAGGTAGGGGTTCTGGACCAGGCTCTTCACCATGTGGAGAAGCCGGTTGAGCTGCTCCAGATCATGGCTCACTGACTTCACCTGGACAGAGACAGCCACACAGTCAACAACTGCATACATTTCCAGTTTCCAGTTCCACTTTTTACAGAAAAAACAAACTATTCTAAGAGTGAAGAATTAATTAAAAATGGTATCGTACCCCACTGATAACATAAACAAAGTATGGCAGGAGTGCGGCGATCTTGGAGTTGGACTGGAGGTCCAGCAGAGCCACCTGAAACACGCAGCAGAAAAATGTCACTAGTATCACTGTTTAACCCTGCAGAACATGCTTGTGCTGATCAGCAGTCTACCTTCATGAGGTGGGGGTCCTCTCCTAGGATGGCCCGTGTGATCTGCTGGTAGTACTTCAACAGGTCGTCTGACAGAGACTGCACTGCTGTGGGAACTGAGACAGGTCAACAGACAGACACTGAAGCCCTCACTCAGTCAGAGGCAGAGTTCACATATAAACAGGAGTCAACTGTTAAACATTTTTACGTCCTATGGAGTTAGTTGAGGTGCCGCAGGATGATGTGTGTATTATCATAAACAGGGATATTTGTCTCTTTACCCAAATACAGAGGAGAAGAAACGTTGCTGATATTAATCATAATGTGGCTGAGTAATACCTGTCCCCTGAGGCTCCAGGTTGCCTTTCCCATCCAGGTAGGACACATTCACTGACAGGAGAAGAAAACAGGAGAAATTATTAGTCATTAGTGTTAGTCCCTCATTAGTAATGACTGAAAGACCTGGATTGTGAACTTTCAGCATCAAGCACACTTCTGTCTGGGTTATGTTAGTGCGGTGGGTCATACCTCGCACCATGGTCTCAGCACAGCCCTTGGGAATGTTGGTGGCCAGAGCCAACTCCACCAGGTTGATGTCCCGGTCCTCGACGAAGAAAAGCTCTCCTTCTTTCACTGAACGGAAAGGCAGCGCATCCTGGGCCCCATAGCCACAGACGGCCTGAAGAACACAGGGAGGATAAGAAGCTGAAGGCAGTGACCTCTGTAGTGCGTCACACTGACCGTACAGACAGACGACAACATCCTCACCTCCACGTTGCTCCAGCGCAGAGCTCTGTTGAAGTCCTCCACCATCAGCTTCCTCCTCTTGGCGTGTCTCATAAACTGAGAGCTGCTCTGTGCGGGTCCAAACAGCACACCTTCAATACTGCACTACTATATATTCCATATCCACTCAGCAATAATGATGTATATGTATAATATACAAATATAATAATAAAGCTTATCCTTTAAAGCCATACGCCAAAATTAATCATTGAGTATGAAACAAGGTGACTGCAGACTTTTGTGTCTAAACGGGATGAGTGAGGATGTGTGGAATTAAAGCCACCCGTCCATGCAGCCTGCAGCACTGACCTGCGTTGCCTCCCTGAGCCGGTAACACACGTCCTCCGCCAGCAGCGCGGCCACATCGTCGCCGAGGTCCACGCCTGCACTCTCGGCCATGAGTTTGACAGACTCCCGGGAAACCTCGGCGAAGCGGCGCTCCTCCCGGTCCGCCATGCTCATGGACCAAAGCACCGTACGTTAACAACTGCGACCAGTGGATTTCAGAAGGTTGGGGGCACCGTACAACAACTGGCAGCAGCTGGCGTTTCAAAGCTCAGATTTAGAAGATTTTATTAAAACTGAGTCGGGCTTGGTGGGTCAGATATAACCCGAATGCATAATAACACATATTAAATTCGTTGCAGGTCTTGACTTCCGGTGCATCCGCTACGTATTAGTGACAATATGCCAGGAATGTTCAAACTGCCACATTTTTCAATGGGATTTGGTACACGATTCTTTCTGAATACGCGGACTCGCTGCCCAGAATGCTAACAAAATGAAATCTGGGTTCCGTCTACCAGCTGGAACAAACAACTTAAAACAACAAAAGTGACAATTATTAAAGTTAATCTGACGCAAAGACAACCACCATTGATCGCTGTATAAAAGTACGGTACTGTATTATTTAGATAAAAGAAAAACAGTGTGAAGCAACCACATCACGTTCATAGCCTGAGCCTTTCAGTTACGGGTTGTAAAGTTAGCTAGCTACGAGGCTTACAGCAAGCTGTCTAAGAACGGCAGACAGAATGCAACTCAAATGTGGAATACTTAAAGTAGACTTTACCTTCTTAGCTCAAACGGCCGAAGGTTCAGTATCATCAGTCAGCAGGAGAGTTTACATCGGCGTAGCTACTCTGCACACTAGGCGCTCCATTAACAGTGTCAAGTTCCAGGCATGAGAAAGGAAGACATCCGTTGAACCCTTCAAAATAAGGCCGGAGAGCCCTTTCTGTCCCTTTTTTAATAGCCTGCCGGTCGCATTAATGATTAATATTAACTGTACTATGAGGAGTCTTTAAGTTGGCAAAATAATACCATAGATGTAAAATGTAACATTTAAATGGGTTTAAAAACGTTTCTTAATTTAAGTGAATGAATTTGACAAAAGTCCCAATATCCGGTTTAAATCGAGCTACCTTGACTATGCTAGCGCTACATGTTGACATTTTCCGTATACTAGTGACGCGCCACGAGGTGAAGGCCAGTGATTGGTCGATCGAAGAGCATCGGGAGCCACCGATTGGTTAATCAGGCGCCTGAATAGAGGGATGTTAGGAAAGTGCTGGGGGGGAGTGAAGTATATTGAGCAGTAGGTTGCTGATAACTCAGTATACAAATGAGTGTAGTTGAACTAAGTAAATACAATGTGTTTTGCTGCCACTCTTTGTGCAGTTAACTGAAAACATTTTATTTTACCATTGCTTCTCCAGAATGGATTATCAGGTCACTTGTGATTGATGTGGTTTTAAATGGTCAGAAGTTGTTGCATGCAATAACCCCACCTGTACTGGACTCTGGAAGGCAGGTGGGAATGATGGCCATGGTATAGAAAACCCAAAGCTGATATTCCTGTACTGTGCCACAAAGTGTTTCATGTGTCAAGTGGGCACTTTAAAGTTGAGTAGCATTTGGGATTATATTTCCATATCATGTACATCCTCACAGAGTATTGACCTTCTTACATCAAGTAGCTTTGAGCCAAACCGGAGTTCTACAGTAGAGTTGCTGTAACTTCCACACTGGTTACTGTTCTACTGAACCTCACCCAGGAAGTGAAATATGTTAGAAATTGTGTGATGTCCACTGGCCTCCAGATTCTGAACATTAGAACACTTTTCTATATGCTGTGTTTAAGATTTCCTATAATTGAACCAAGGGCCTCTTATCAGTCCTTCTCACACAAAACCACGACATAAGGTTAGAGATTAAAATTGGTTTATTCATGACACAGTCAGACATTTCATTTACTCAGTTGAATAATAAAGTATTTACAATAGTTAAAAAATTAAATTACAATCATAGCTACACCTGTAGTGTTTCAGGAGACCACTGACCACCTGTCAGGAACTAGAGGCCTTATAGACTGCTTGGTCTACAACTGACCAGTTCAAGGCCTGCTTGACCTGCTGACACAAGCTCTCAAGTCAGACAACTTCAATAAAAAAAAAAAAAATTACTTAAAAACAGTAGATTAACGGAGCTGTGGTGTTGAGTGCTGATGCTGGTTCTAACTATGACCCAGTCAGAGTGCTCTGTTGTCCCAGATCTCCTGGGCCTTGCTGCTCTCCAGCTGCTGCAGGTGGAGGGCCAGCGGCAGCAGCAGGTCACTCAGGTGCTGGCTGGAGAAGGTGAAGGCATTGTGGGCCGTGGCCTCTGCAGGAGGGGTTGCCAGAGGGGAGGCCGACGGAGGAGAAGAGGATGTTGAAGAGTTAGGAGAGGTGGCTGTGAAGGGGGAGGTGGGGGAGGGTAAGCCTGAGCTGCCAGGGGCGAGCTGAAGGTAGAAGGACCCTCCTTGGGTCTGGTCGGATGTTTTGATCTTGCTGGGGAGGCCGTGCTGGAAGCGGCAGCGTGTACCGTACAGGCAGAAACCAAAGGAGCTAAAGGTGCGGCACAGGGCCCCGCGTGGCTTCCACTCTTTGGTGTGTGGTTGGAGCTGGGGGCTGGGGACAGGCGGAGTCTTCTCTTCGCCATCTTCAGACGGCTCCGGACCGCTGGTGACATTTTCATCCTCAACGTGCAGGAAGTTGCAGCGGGTGCCGAAGGGACAGACTCCAAAGGAGCGGAATGTGCGGCAGGGGACGTTCCTGCGTCGGCGCAGGGCGGGGCGCTGCTCGGTGGCGTTGTGGACAAACAGGCAGCGGCTGCCATTACAGTACCTCGTTTGGATAGCTGCGACACACACTCCGTTTTACTTTTGTGACGGAAGAACATACTCCTAGCCGTGCAAACTGGCAGCCCCAATACTTCAGAAACCCATACGGAGTACTGGTGCAGAGCTCCGTCTTGTAGCGCGTGGAGCACACCCAGGGGATGAGGGGCGGGGAGGAGGACTCTACCAGGGGGAGGAGGGCCTTGGCCAGGGAGTGTCCTCCATCGCCACCATCTACATCTGACTCCTCACTGGACAGCAGGTTGTCCACCATCTCCTCATCTTGGTAGGAAGGCAGGAACAGATCATCCCTGCTGGTCTGTAAAAAATAATTATATAGTTGAGCATGGATAATAAAGTTTGTTTCTTTTTCAGTGTGAAGAGCTGAAGTCTGTCGTACTGAGCTCAGTGAGTTTATGCTACTAAAGCATTCAGCTCCTGTGAGACTGCCAGAACTGTGTGTTATTCCAAAGCAAGCATGTCAAATACACTACATACTGCCTGATTACATAATGGAATAAAACCTTCTGCTAAGCAATCCCACAATGCAGTGGGTCATATTTGCAAAAATCTGCCAGTGATTACAAAATTATTTATAACTATGCAAAATAGTCTTTGCTACAGACTAACTCACTCAGGGGCCTCCATTAGCCAACAGCTAGGTTTCCTTTAAGAAAGCCACCTGGGACTGGACCTGGGCTCCAGTACTGTGATCCTGGAACTATTGAACAACCTGTAATCTGTTCAAACTGTTAAGTGCTTAAAGGCATATCTTAGTAGCACACATGCTCTGTGGCTGTTTTCAGAGTTTAATGGCTTGTCACTGATATGAGCCACAGCTTGCTGTGCGAGTTAAATAAGTCATTTTATAAAGATTAGTCCAACCAAGCCATTTTTCTGCTGACAAAGTTTGCTACTAGCTGATCTATGTGGTGGCAGCTTTCATCATCAACCACACTGTCCACACTGCAGACACCAGCCAGAGCCGGGAAAGATGGAACGACACTTTGGGTTGGAGGCTTGAGTTGATTGCAGACTCATTCCCAGCCCCAGTACTTGACCTGGTAATGAGACCAAACTACTGTCTAGGCTCTGATTGGATGTTCTTGTCCAGGCCCAGTGGATTCTTTCCAGTGTCACTAGAAGCACTAGAAAGTGCCAGAGAACCCTGGTTTTCAGAGTGTCTCATGTACTACTTTCAGGATATAGTGAAAGTTTCCCCAACACGTTGGGGAAGTTTATAAAGTTAACTACTGCAGCTTTAAAAGATAAAATTGAGAAGCAGTAAGCGCTCACATTGGATTGCAATGGTTTACTCCTGGACTTACCTCAAACATGGTTGCAAAGGGACGGAGAGCGGTTCGTGGTGAGCTCCGGCAGAACAAGCGTCCACTGCAGTGAGGTAGCTGTGGTAGAGCCGTGTGTCGGTAGAATGGCGCTGACCCCGGTGGACCTGCTTGCTTAAGGAGCCACAACCGACTAACTCAGAGGGGCCTTTTAACCGGATGCCGCCTCCCGCCCTCGAGCCCAAATCAGCGTCAGGTGTGTTGGAGCTCTGCGTCGCGAGCGGCCAATCACGCCCACGTTCGTTAATGTGGAAGCCCATTTCCGCCAATGTGACGGAGAAAACGATATGTCTGATAAGTGATTATAAAGACTTTGTGATACTAAACTTTTTTTTTTTTTTTTTTACTGTTGTTTATAGTGAAAGAGCCCAGTTTGCTATCGGCTAGCGGATGTTTATCTCAGGGCCCAATCAACATCCTTAAAAGCGAGTTCGTCAGCTTCCTTACAGATTTGTCGAAATTAACACCTCAGTCGGAAGTAGTTCAAACAAACCTTCTAATTAAAAGCCGTCTGATAGGGCCACAGCTGAGTACAAATAGACAAATATTTCCTTTAGCTTTGGTCTAATCTTTGTTTAAGGCTTTTTTCAATCAAGCCCAGAGAGCAAGGGTTCATTTGCAGTGCCCATAGAGTATTTATATTTAATTATATTTAGTATTTATATCTGAAAATGGATTCCTATATTGTTTTTCCATTTTCAATCAGTGGATCTTGCTAATTGAGTTGTATTAAGAACCTACTTTTTTACCTCGCAAAGTTCTGTCAAGTTTCATTTAGAATTTTTGGACTTCTTTATTCTTGAATTGGATGAACAGTAGAAATAGCAAAAAGGCAGATAAATGATTGAAACAGCAATGAGTAATGGATAAATAGTTGAAAAAGTTAGAGTAAATGGTTAAAACCAGCTTGTGCAACTTTTAGTACAAAAAAGTTAAAGAAACCAAAACGCTGACTGTATGAAAATATTCTAATCATAGCCACTTTTATATTGTCTATGTGTTAAATAAATTCAGTTTGACAGAATGACCGGTGGTGTTGATGTAGGTACTCAAGTTCATCTGACAGGAGTGGCGGGGTACGTCTGAAAAAAGTTTGAAGCCACTGGTCTATGGTAGCAATCTGGTGAACACAGTCGAGAAAGAGCCTGTGACTGACCACAAAGAAAAAAAAAATCTTTATTTCTTTTCTTATCAAGATACATTAAAGGATACAGAGACACTGGAATAAAAAACACTTGAGAAAAAAGTTTCAACTGTAGCATGTTTGTCTCTCCATCATACAAAAATCAGCACCCCGTCCCTTTTGAATGTCGCCTCGGTTCAAATGACCACCCCACCCATCCCTATGAAGGAGAGCAATGTTTCACATGTACAGTAGCCTATTAGAGCCATCTCCACAGTACTGGAGCAGAATTACACACTTTAGATGTAAAAAAGTTTAAAATATGCCAGTTTTCCACTTTTCTTTACACAGATTAGTATTTGCTACAAACTGAACACTTCAATTTCTTTTTTTTTTGAGAAATATTACAAAGCCCACATTGGGACCAAACTTGCTTATAAAACCAGTGTAAGCACTCACTGCTGTGGCCACCCACAGGCTGTGGGATACAGAGGAATTATAATTATCCAATTAACAACTTACTTTTAGTACACACCCTTTCATAACGGTACAAACAGGCGGGAACTAAAGTAAACAAAGCAAAAGTTGAGACAGCTGAAGATTCCTTTCACATCGTCTTCATACCTAATCACAATCAAAAACATCACTTCTGTTCCACATTTACAGAAGAGGATTAAGGCCATATAAATTCTGAATGAATCAATACTGGGAGAAAAGGCATGACTTTAATCTCAGACTCTTTTTTTAATTTTTAACATTAATTTCAGAACTTAATGTTTGGCCCTAATTGCCTTCTGTACATTTACACATTGTTTCTTTATTAACAGACTTTTATCAACTGACCAGTAACATAATTCTGTCAGTTTCACTCTAACCAACCAAACCGTACATTGTCAGAAATGCTGTGGCCTTAGTCTAAACATTACTTCGGGGTTAAAAGTGTCCACTCACAATGGACGTCCACCTTTTTTTTTTTTTTGCACATTATGGCTTCATTTTGGACTTTTGCAGACTCAAACATAGTACCTCAAAGCCAAATGTGTTCTCTTGTCATGGGAAGTCACACAGTAACTTGTGCAACTCCATGGTAACCACAATCATTTGAATTAACTCAAACACTACATGATCCCTGCTACACTGTAAACCTACAGACTCCAATGATGACTTCAGCAATGATCCTCTCCCCTTTGATTCCAGACTGCCTGTTCAAACGTCTTGGGGTGAAGTCAAGAGTACAGGAGCCAGGGTCTCTTCAAACCAGCTAAAAGTGGCTATAAAACCTCGGCAATCAAGTGACGGGAGACGAAAAACAAAATGCAGCTCGACTGCAACAACAACCCTCGTTCAGTTTCTTAGAAAATGACTACTGTGATGCAAAGGTGGAGACGGTATGAAGGGCTATTAATAACAAAACTATCAAGTGAGTACAAAACTAACTTAAGTAGAGCTCTACAAACAGACAGGCTTTAGCAATTGGTTGGTCAAAACAAGCAATTTGAAGGAGTCCCCTTGAGCTTTGGAGAATTGACCCTTTCCCAAGTCCCACCCCTTTTTGCTTTGTGCTCCAATAAGAGATGGGCAAGCCTCAGTCAACTTCTTCCTTTCCTTTTCTTAGATATGCTATGTGCTAGGCTCGCTTATGTTGAAAAGACAACCACAATTTGAAGATGTTTAAAAGATAAAAGCGAGATATATATATTCACATCGTAAGTAAGCTAGCTAATGTTAGTGAAATGCTAGCTAACTAATGATTGATGTAAATTAGCTAGCTAGTAAGCTAGCATTTCACTAACATTAGCTATCAGATGTAACTAGCTAGCTAACGATTGATGATCTAGTTAACTTGCATTTTGCTAACATTAGCTAATTAAAATGTGACTGTCGCTTTTATCTTTTAACCGTCTTCAAAATGTGGTTCTCTTTTCAACATATTATCTTAGCATATAGCATAAATAAGTACATAAAGAGAAACGGTTATTGGAGCACAGAGCAAAAAAGGGCGGGGTTTAGGAAGGGTCAACTGCAATTTTCAAATAAATTAAGATTGGCAGATTAATTTAGAATGAAACCAATGGTTGTTTGCTGCCCTAAGACTGATCATACTACTTCAAAAGGCATGGTCTAACAGGCTTGCGCTTTTGATTTTGTATGAGTGATAAAACCTGTCAAAACTCAAGTTTCTTTCTGTACTTTCATACCTGTCTCTGCAAACTGTTAACTTTCACACTGCTAAAGTTGTTTTGTGCTCACTTGCTATTTTCGACACTGAGGGATTTCCATAAGATGGAAGATGTTAAAAAAGTGCAGATGGGAAGGACTTGAGCTGTCAGGATTTATTAACCCCTGTAACAGGCTGATGATGGGAGACCAGCTCTGTCAACACTTGTTCTCAGCTTGACCAATGAACCTGTGTACAGTCAGTGAGCTACAGCCACACTTTCCCCTCCGCTGGAATGGAGTAAAGGAGTGTATGAGTGAAATCTCCAAATCAGATTAGACCTTCAGCCGGCTACAGCTGTCCTGCACAGTCTCCCGTTTCCACTTCCCTGCCCCCTCATTCTTCTTCCATACTGTGGGTTTCGCCCCTTAAATGATGCATATATTTACACAAAGATAGAGACATGGAGGAAAAACAAAGTGTGCTTTATCACCATTGTTTCAGGATCTTGATTTAAATTACACATTTAAAAACAGGCGGCATTGAAAAAGAGGAGCAAAATAATTCAGGATCTGGAATAAAATACTACAAAGCCCAAGGCGTTGTGTGAGTGCTGATGCTGTGTGTGTTTAATATGAAATGTACGGTCATCTGAGTGTTTGTTTGTGTGTGTGTGTGTGTGTGTGTGTGTGTGTGTTGTGTGTGTGTGTGGTGTGTGTGTGTGTGTTGGACACAACATTTGGGAAGTAACAGAGGACTAAAGAAAAATGACACTGAAAAGAGGGAAAATAAAAGACTACTGGTATGGCGTACTGTGCTGCCTGTTAAGTCGATGGCCTGAGCACAGACCCTCCCCAACTCCCACCCAACCCCCCCGTGTCCTGTTGAAAGAACCCCTGTGTCCCTCCCCCTTCAGTCCTCCAGGACAATGGGTTCGCTGGTGCTGGAGGGGAGCAGGGGCATGGCCAGGGAGCGAGGGGGTGGCGGCAGCTTGATCCGAACCAGGAGATGAGGCTTCCGCGCTGCCCGACGCATCTCCGACTGGGTCAGGTGTTTCCTCAGAGCCCTGGTTGACAGAGAGCACCAGAATATCATTAACAAGGCCCACTCTAGTCGAGTACTTTGACATGTTCCGATAAAAGCAGACAGTCTGTGCTGTAGGTGTTAATGATGGGAAAAATGTACCTGGTGTCCTTTGTAGCCACAAACACCACAGGGTTGGGTGCCTCCCCCTGGCTGACCTTCTGCCGCTTGATGACAGACTGAGAGGTGGTCCTCATACCTGAAGTGTACGGCCTCCCGTTGGCTGGGTAGGGCACCCCTGCAGCCTGTGAACCAATTGAAAACCAGGAGGGTGAATCAACCATGTTGTTTCACTTTAAAGATTAAAGTTACGAGTGGAGCAGCTTTAAGATAGCTCAACATGTGTCAGTTAGGCTGAGGGGAGCAAAAAGTTTAATGTGTTAAGGTCATGTGGCCCATTTCTGCGCTTGTGGTACTCAGCTAGTAAACTGTGACTTCGGGTTTGTGTACGTAATGGTGTCCCCAGCAGATAAAGTCACAGT